CATCGGACATTAGTATTTTTATGAAAACATTATATAACTTCATTGTGGAAAACTCGGCGTGTGTGGCTGGTGAATAACAAAGGACAAAGCTAGCTAGCTTCCTGTAAAGTGAATTATACCTACGTCAACTCGTAATTAACTCATCAGTAAACCCTCGATACGATATCGAAGAAGTTTCAGACTAGAAAGAAGTCTTTATATTGCTTGTAAGTTTGTGAAACTTTTGTTTGTAAATCAATGTTTGTAATAAATATTTGTAATAACTGTTATTGTAAATTGTACTGTTGTGTGTATATTAAAACGTATTTGTGTTAATAAAAAGAAAACTGTGTGTATCAATCTTGTTGACAAGTGTCATAAATTGACTATACATCTGATTTTACTTAACTACTAGATTTAAAGTATTATTTAACTAAATTTCAGACCAATCGAAATTGTAATACGTAACAATGATATTTTCTATAAATGAAAAACGGAAAGTTTATTCAGTTGGTTTACTTGTCAAAGATATTTCGATAAAACATGATTTTTGAGATAATTACCTTTAAACCAAGTCTAGTAAAACGTTTTATATTATCAATTCAACCTTCTTTCTTTTTTAAACTATGACATCTAATATATAGAGTTAGTCTTACCTAGCATGTTAACCATTCTCAAACTTAACGCTTTATCTTTTTCAGGCTGCCCCGTATCACCGGTGTTGAGCATGTTCGGGCCGGAGGAATGGAGCGGTGTACATTTGGACGCGTCTTTAGAAAGAAGTTGTTCTATGGTGTAAACTGAAAATCGTGATGGAGATTGTCTCTCCTGTGAAAAGCAGTGCTGAACATCCTTATTCATCTTGTAAGCAGCTTAAAAGCCACGTGAACAGTCTTGAATGATCAGTTTCAGAATATTTGTATACTTGTGAACTGTTCAGCTAAACATTTCAGTTCTGATCTCATGTTCAGATTTAAAAGCTTGAATAAGAAACTCCGTCAAATAACCTTGTCGGGTAAGAACAAAAACAGAGACGATCATCACAAATGCAATAGATCCTGTATACTTGTCATGTTCTTCAACAGGTATATCGTTTTTAAAGTGTTTGATCCATACACAGGTTAGCAAAACTGGCGTTACAGTTATCACGTATAGAGACCAGGTCTTTCACGAGGTTAACACCTGGGCACAACTGACACGTGAGTGAGTCGACAACTAATAGAGAACTATATTCTTGACGAAGGTAACCACGATCTAATGTGGGGGAGGGGATTTCAATGAAGACATATATTAGCTATCATTTGATACGATTTGATTGGTCCTCTCTGTCTTGTTGGGGTTCTGTCCTCGCGAAGTTTCCCGCGTTGCTTTTAATTAGAAAGGCGGAGTCTTATAGGTGGAAAGTCAGACACGAAGAATATTTTGAATACTCTCAATAATTCTCTAATTCATACTTCTCCTTTTCGTTATATCGTACTTATATTGTATTTAGTATAGTTAAGCCTCGTCATCAAGCTAATTGACTGATTTTCTTTATTGAGTTTTTTTTATGCTTTTCTTAACCCTTAGCACCGAGTTAATCCCTTTTTCAGCACCGCAAGTACTCGACCGAAAGAGAAACAAGCAACAACGAATCGGTATTTTAACCGTTTTTATTTAGAATAAGCTATTTGGATGAATGCCAAACAAGTACAATTCTAGATCAATTATAATTATTATTACCTCTTTCTCTAAATGTCAAACACGAGAAGACTGACTCCAAACCTGCCTATTTCTTCTACTACTACCAGTGCACAAAACAGGTTTAATTATCCCAATGCTTTTACGATAAAACAGCTGCCGTCTATATGTGGCTTGACAAGTTTCCGACTTCGTTTCTGTGACATTAACAGAAAGCCGTAACGTTGGGGGATTATCTGCTATTTTTCCAACAGCGGGGAACCAGTTTTACAAACTTTATTGCCCGTCAGCACCTAAATTCAATCTCTTTTTGGAAACCGCCAATTGCCCTCTCTTTGAAATCGCATGCTCTGCAGTTTGCACTCATTACGGGAACTTACAGTTGTAGACTAGGCTTATACAAACAATCTGTGTTTTTATATGTCTCGTTGCATCTTTTCTTTCTCCAAAGAACGTACTGGTGTTTATAAAAGAATCGCATAAACTCTAATTGGTTTAAATAAACACCATTATTAAATTGCACGAAAAACACCAGTACCTATGATAATTAGAAACATTTAACTGACAGGGAAAGTTGTTACAATAAATGTGTTTCCGTACCATCAACTTCTATTTGTACGTTTTATTAATTAGCAAGTGAACAGGTAGGCGGCCAACACTCATCATCTTCACCGAATAGCAGGAATAAGTAAAAGCTGCCATCCTCTGTAAAAAATGATTCCATTTCCTCCTCATTATGATTAGGCTTAGCGGGAGAAAGCTCAAATTCATTCAGTGGGTATGCATATGCTAGATTAGAAAGTTTGAAACAGTTCTAAGTTATAATGATCTCTCTGTTGGTATAGGAAGACAGTATATCTCCAGCTAAATTTACCCGCCAAAACTTCCAATCTCACATTTTTCACAGCTTTTGTTTTATCTTTCTATCCGACGAGGTACTGGGGTTGTTTGTTAAGCACAGAGCTACAAAATGAGCTATCTGAGCTCTGCCCATTGTGTGTGTGTGTGTGTATCGATTTCTGTTTAATTATTCAACACTTGTTTATTACCTAGACGAATGTTTTTATTTCTTTAATACATTTTTGTTTTTAGTTTGTAATTATCTAACAGAAATTTTGTACTTCTTACACAAACGAAGGTTTTGTGTTCAGTTTTTACACGTTTGTAATTATCTAACCGAAACGTTTCACTCCGTTTACACGAACGAAGACTTCGTGTCTAATTACTCAAAATTTGTAATTATCTAGCCTAAAATCCCTGCTTTATTTAATCTGTGCTTAGCGTTTCAACATTTGTAATTACTTAGTCCGAACTTTGTACTATGTTTATAGAAATAAAGATTGTATTTTTACTCTTTTCGAAATTTGTAATCTAGTCGAAAATTTCTACTTCGTTTGTTTGTTTGTAATCAAGCACAAAGCTACACAATGGGCTATCTGTGCTCTGCCCACCACGGGTATCGAAACCCGGATTCTAGCGTTGTAAGTCCGCAGACCTGTGGGAAAAGACAAGGCAAGACATCGTGTATTCATCGAATCAACAAATGCTTTGACGTTAATGCCAGACAATTCGAATATTTACTTTAATAAGTAAAAAAAATTCATTAGATTTTTATTGTTATTCCAAATCACTGTTTGCGCCACCTTGTACTTGTAACGATAATCAAACTCAAGAAGCATACGCGAATTTAGGTAATAGGAAAGCTATTAATATTGCATTGTTTCTACATTTCTCTTTAGGTTGTCTCCAGTTACTTTACAATTGAAATCAGTGATCCGTTTACATTTTAACCTGGCTTGACTGAGAGGACCCAAGATTTAGGATCTGCTAACCACAACAGAAATATGTAGAAACTTTTATTATATACAAGCTGAACTGAAATAAAACTGAAGTACCCGTCTTTTGTCCGGGTTATAAACTGAAAAGAATGTGGGGTGGGTGTTATGATAAATAACACAAAAATCCTAACCTTCACACAATATATTTATAACATAACATATTATTATAGTATTCATTATTACTTCACCAAAAGTTTTATACAAGCTTTAAGAATTCACTTTGTATACAGGGTGAGTCAAAATTATGTATAAACACTTAAATAGCCATATTTTGTAGACAGCATGACCGATTTGAATGAAATGTTGTACATTTTACAGTTAAAATACACACTTAATTCTGCAGAAAGATGTTAACCTGCCAGGGATTAGTATCTGGGTGAGACTCTCCTCTCGAGGGATAATCGGACTTTACTCTGCAAAATAACAGTATCAGTTATCTTGAATTGTTAATGAATGATGCAGTTCCCACAATAAGAAACATGTTTCTGTATACGTTGGTGTACTTTCAACAGGAGAGTTCACCTCCACATTTTTACTCTAATGTCTGTGCCTATTTGGATACTGAACAGTGAATATGTTATCCGCTTTTAACACTCAGCTCTTAATATCCTTCCACAGTGTTTCACGTGATTAGTTAATTGACAATCATTGGCCGCAGAAGTGTCTTACGGGCCGAAAATGAAAGATCAGAGGTCAAAGTAGGAAGTGGATATAACTCAAGAAACTGCTCTTCATATGAGCCTTATAGTGTCTGTTGGAGTAGAAACTTCAGCTGAGTTTATGTATTATTGCAATAGAGGCGGCCATTTTTGTTGTTGCATTCTTCCATAGAGTTTTAGGTATTGGTGTAAGAAGGTGGTGCCATCTATGAACATAGTTAACGTTAACTAAAGTCAAAGATAATAAATGCTCAATAACATCAATAAATAGAGGGAGGGGCTGTGAACACCCCATGAACATGTCCTTGTTCCAAACTATCATCTCATAAAGTTTGCTTGAGATTGGCCCAGCGACCTAGGAATAATTAGATAATGAACATACAAGCAGACAGACACAGATTGTTTTTGATTTTTTTTTTGCTTCATGTATATAGATATTGCTTAGGATGTTTTTAGATTCTTTGGTATTTCCATTAAGATGTGGTAATGGTTCTTTCAAAGGTTTCGATTCAGCTTTGCCATTATTACAATACAGTCTTGGCTTTTCAGTGGGATAGCTTTTTGTCCTGCAAAAATCATATTCTATAGATATCTTCTCCTAACATCATGTGCAGACTGATTCATAATCATGATTAGCTAGCTATTATTTCCCTATTTTGAGCTTGTCTTGCAGCAGGTCTTCTGCCGTTTCTTGTGATTTCCCTTATTCCATCCTCTTGGCTATTTTTGACTTCCGTGAATACAATGACTTCAAAACTCGTTCGGGCATTTTGAAACACTTCGTTAGGGTTGTAGTTTATGTGTGCATTTCACAAAGTAGACTGTTTTGGAAACTATATTATATATATATATATATATAGAACCAGATATATATATTATGCAATTTATTTACAACTACGGTTGAGACAGCAAGCAACGTATGACCTTTTTGAGGTAATGATGAAACACTGTGGAACTAAGGGTACAAATGTTTATTTTGTCTTCACTTGATCAATTAAATGACGGCCATTTGCCACGTTATAGAAAATATAATAAAGTTCTTTTTTGATGTAGTTGTTGTTTTGTTGTAAGGTCGTGGCGCAATATATAAATGTAGTTAACATTAACTTACCTCAAAGGTAATAAATTCTGAATAGCAGCAATAGTGGTAGTGTAGGGGGGTTGTGAACCCCCACTAACATGCCCCTTGTTCCAAACTATCATCCCACAAAGTTTGGTTAAAATTGGCCCAGCGACCTAGGAATAGTTAGATAAAGAACAAACAGACATACACACACACACACATATATATATATATAGATAGATATATAGAAAACATAAACTACAATTACAACCTTTTATAAAAAAGTAAAATGTTCAGAATATAATTCAGAAATCAAAACAAATAACATAATAGTTTACTCGAGGCAAATTATAATATTCAAGAATATACTTAGAGCATAAGATAAGCGCTCCGTTTGAACAAGAGTACACAATACCCCTCAGAAAGCATAATCAAATCTTCAGCTAAAATCAATAACAAAATTTTTATAAGTTAATAATAAGAAAAACCTTATACAAAATAAACCACAATAACAATCTTACACAGTTTAAAGCATACAACCAAGCCTTATAGATATAGATAGAAATATTCAACTAAACCTTATAGATATAAATACAAACACACAACCAAACCTTATAGATA